CTTTGTTCTGCTCTCCTTCCCTGTACTCTGGGATGTTGCCATGGTAAATAAAAACCTACTTGGGCAGCATAGTTTAGTTCAGACAAACTTCTTGCAGGGTTCTGTTACACCACTGCTAAAGATTATAGGACAGATTTGCCTGTTGCTGTGCGTAACCTTGAAGATTGATTGATTTTTTGGGGAGAGAGTAGAGGAGGAAGCACTTGAGGCAGGTAGCTTCAGTCATCTGTTGGAAATTCATGATAAGAAACCATTAGAGATTGCAGTGCAACTATTGTTTTGAAAAACGTGTTATTCAATATTGAACTAAATTTCAGTATAGTAAGTTTTTGTCATATGCTGCCTGTATTAAGCAGTTTATCTCTAGATGCATATTTTATCTATTATGCAATTGTACTTGCTCTGTTCTTTGTCTTCTAAAAGTAAATAAAATCTTAGCCCCTGCTAGAAGAGGGACTGTGACTGACACCAAAGCCCATTTGACAGCTGTATGTAAATACAAAATGGTCTGGTTGCACAGTAGGTTTCAGACATTAGTTTTGCTTGATTACAACTTGAAAGATCTGTTATTTAAGAAATAGTGCCTTCAGTATTTTGTTTAGCAAATAAACAGATGTAGTTGTAAATCAAACTTCTGAGTGCCAGATAAAGGAGCCTGCTGGCATCTCATTCAGATTGTGAAACAATGCTCTGAAGTATTTAAATGCTTAAGAGTTAGCCATCACAGGTAAAGAAAGTATAATTTCATGGAAAACTGCAAATGCTTTTGAATGCTTTTTACTTGTGTTGTAGTTGAATTGTCCTGCTGCTTTCTCATGTGAAAATGCTTTGAAAATTCTGTGTATGTGTGCATTGCAGTTGATTTAGAGAATATTTTTAGTACACAGTTTTAAATCCACAGTTGGCTGACCTTTTGTTGGCAGCAGAAAAAAGGTCTTCACCTGTGTTAAAATGAGAGAGAGGTCTATTGTTGTAGTTTAGATTTCATGCTGGTTGGCATGAGGCTTTTTGAAAAGTCTGTGATAGTCCAAACAAACTGAAAGTGCTACCCAAAACAATACGTTAGCGTTTTGCCATGTTAAATTTCGGTTTAGCTGTGTAAGGTTATTCTCGTATGATAAGAAAGGTAAGAATCAAAGCTGTTCCATGTTCAGAAGCTTGTGGTACAAGTTTATTTGCTGTATTTATGACTGGCCTTGCATAGGGTTTCAAAATTTAGTGCAGCTTTCAAACTAAGCTTTCTCAGTGAGCTGTGAAATTGATGGTTGCTTTTTAAAATGCGCCCACTGCAGTATTTTTAAACTCCTCAAATGCTCACTGTGAACATGCTGTATATCACAATTAAATGTTATTTCAGTGAACTCTTTGGCTCTGACTTGTTTCATCTCAAGGTACTATCAGTGGGGAAGAGGAAAAAATGTCTTCAGAGTTGCAGTTCAAGTATTGTTGTGTTTGTTGCTAAGGCTTATTTTCTTTCAGAGAGCTGCTCTGTTAATTACAATAAAAATATTTCACATTATAGAATATCTCCTAAGACTGGCATCTTCATTTGTGTTATCTTTCAAAGGCTTGCTGTGTGACCTCCTGTGGTCTGACCCAGACAAAGATGTGCAAGGTTGGGGTGAAAATGATCGTGGTGTCTCTTTCACTTTTGGTGCTGATGTGGTCAGTAAATTTCTGAATCGTCACGATCTGGATTTGATCTGTCGAGCTCACCAGGTATGAATTATGCTGCTGTTGCTTCTTAAAACCTCTCCTCCTAGACTTTCTGCCTCTTTGGTGCTGCCTATCAGCAGGTTATACATTAAACTTTGCATTATGTTACTTTTAGGGGAAAAAATATTTTCCTAATAAAGAGACTATAAGGGTGTGTCCTTGTGTCCTTCTATTAACTTGTGCTGAACTGAGTGTCTAATGTCAGTAACGTAAAATACTAATGCTAAATTTACCCACTGATCTTTCTTTTGTATTGCCTGTTTACTGTTAAACTGCTGTATATTAACTTTAAAGGTTAAGTGTCCAGGTTTAAAGTGGCGAAGTGACTTGAATTTGAGGTTCACTCTGAAGCTTCAGAGTTCTTCCATTTCAGTAGTAGTCCATTCTCTGATAGTTGTGGCTTAAACTATCTCTGCTTCACTTCACGGAAGTTTTAATTTAATTTTGAGTGTTTCTACAAACAAGTCTGTGCATAAGCTTTCACTGTTGCCTTTGTTTTGGGTCAGCTATCTAGAGTACTTTGTCATAGATGGTTTGGCGTACTGAAATGTGCACAAATCTTCAAGTATGCTTTTTTTACAGTTCTTGTTAAGTTACTTTAAGCAAGTGTCCTAGTTAGGTGGACATGAGGTTTCAGTGTCCTGTTTAACATTTCAGTTACATTATTTAGTCAATTTTAAAAGCTTTCTCCTGCTGTGAAACAAAAATAGGCTTTTTATTCTGTCACTGTTAAGCTTGGCTATACTATCTAAACATTTGAATATTTCTCCTTGCAATTTAATTACTGTAACACTAGAGGTTAGTCAGTGTGTGGAATGGATATTAAGATTTCTTAACTGCTGATCAAGATTGCTACCAGTTTCCTGTATTTGTGTAGTCACTTCAGCTTTTATAAAAGAATCAGAATATTTTGAATGAAAAAGACCTTTAAGGTTGAGTCCAGCCTTAACCTGTCCACTGCTAAACTGTCTCTAAGCATCTCATCTACCTGTCTTTTAAATGCCTCCAGGGATGGTGACTTGACCACTTTCCTGGGCAGCCCATTCCAATACCTAATACCCCTTTCAGTGAAGAAATTTTCAAGTAGTATGACATCTTTTAAAAGACCATGGTAATTGTACCAAAGTGAGCAGTTGGTGCACTAGTTTCACTACATTATAGTGCGAAGTTTCCGTTTTGGGGAAGAGGGAACATCCTTAGCTGATGCATCATGCTACTTGCACTATTTTAAAAGTGAATTATGCTCTTAGAGAAAATACAGCAGGATCATTTTAACTTTTAGAGCATCAAAATTATAAAAAAGCCTTAAACTTAATGTTTGTGCAATCAACATCAGTGTAAGTGAAACTTAATGGCTATAGTTGCAATGAAGATTGTATCTGGATCTTGTGCAGTCCAAACTAATAGGTCAAACATCCAAATTCTGTGTATCATCCATGAAATGCTGGGAATCCTTATACTGGCAATGCATACTCAGACTTAAAGTATGAAAATATTGAACTGTCAAGTTGATGCATACTGAACATCAGAAGTGTCAGACAGGTTAAGCTACCTGATTTCACATTCAGTGTCCAGAGCAGACAAAATGACTGAACCTGTCCTGTCTGAAGACATAAAATACCTTTTTGATGAACTCTTGTCATCTCTTTAATATAGGTCCTGCCTGCCTTAAGACTGGCTTTTTTCTTCAAAATTTTTCTTTTTTTAAAGTGAGCTGTATTGATTTCTCTGGTGTTGACAGGTGGTTGAAGATGGCTATGAATTCTTTGCTAAACGGCAGTTGGTCACCCTATTCTCGGCTCCAAATTATTGTGGAGAATTTGACAATGCAGGGGGCATGATGAGTGTGGATGAAACTCTAATGTGCTCCTTTCAGGTATGATCTATCTGTACATTGAATATTACTTAGGTGTTGGGCTATATGGACTGAGTTAGTCTGCTTGTTGATGTGTGTATGGTTAGTCTAGGCTAATGCACCTGAGCCACAGAAAAGGCCACACAGGAGGCTGGTGTTTGTGGACAATTAGAGCTGCAAACCAACTGTTCTCCAGAGAACTATGTGAGATTTGCTGTATAAGTAATTCTCTCTATACAGGTGCTTATTTCAAAGTTGATTCTTAGTCATACCTAGTTATCAGAGTACCTAGTTACGCAGACTGATGGACTGTTGGGACCCTTTTAGTGTAGTTACTCTGATCAGATTTTAATCCTTGTTCTTTCTTGGACATGTTTTCAGCCCCTTTTCTTTCCCCTTCCCACCCCAGCATAGTAGCAGAACTAGAAGGATTTAGAAGTAGTATTACTGTTGTACGGAAGATTAAGAAACTTGTAGGATTTTGATGTGATTCCATCCACCCTCACCCCTCTTGTTCCTGATGAATGAGATTTCATGTTGGCTTAACAGTATTGGAAATGTTCTTAGCTGTCACTGACTCAAAAGAACTTCTTTATTTTCTCTAAGATATTGAAACCATCTGAAAAGAAAGCCAAGTACCAGTATGGTGGACTGAATTCTGGGCGTCCAGTCACTCCACCTCGCACAGCTAATCCACCGAAGAAGAGGTGAAGAAAGGAATAATGTAGAAACACCATCAGATCTGTCAAGGACAAAACTCCATATTACAGTATATAATAAGTGTGCACTGTAAAACCATCCAGCCATTTGACACCCTTTATGATGTCACACGTTTAACTTAAAGAGACGGGTAAAGGATCTTTATTAATTTTTTCTAGTAGAAAGGTGTGCGACACTGTATTGTAACAAGTATAGCTCCAAGTTCTAATATCCAGCATAGAGTAAAAAAAGTATTAGGAAAAAACTATTGCAAATACATATTCACATTTACCACGGTTTTTAAAGTTGACCAACATCCCAGTTAAAACTTGATGTAATAGTTAAACCAGGTGAGAGCATGATGTTCCATTTGTGTAATGTGGTCTTATTGTTGCTTGATTGCTTTTACTTTGGTTATTTTGTAGCTAGAATTATGCGAATATGGTATCTAGTCTTATTTCCCGGCTCTCTTTGAAATTGAAATAAGGAAGGGGCTTTTTAGAAGAGCCATTGGTCTCTTATCCTTCCCCTAACCCCCTGTTTTTCATAATAATGTCGCCCAAATGTGTGCCCTATTACAATGCAAAGTTTATAGTATGGTAGTGATTAAAAGGTAAACTAAGTCCAAGATGCCAAGACTGGACAGCTTGACAGCCAACATAAATTGAGACAGAAGAACCTATCTTGACTTTTTAACTTAAACTGCCACACATTGAATTTGTGCACTACACTATTTTAAATTATTGACATTACACTGTGCTATGGCACTTCATTTAATTTAGCTAGGACAAAAATGGTATTGCCTATTAGTGGGTAACTTGATTATGTGGTACCTTGGCTTTAGTTTTATTAGCATGAAATACCTTTGGCATGCATAGCTTCCAGGTAACTCCCTACCTGCATCAAAATTCATCTTGCATAGTTCCACAGAACATGAAGATCCTTATTTGCTAAGCCTTTGAAAGCTGACATTCTTTTTCATAAGAGGGTGTGTTTAAATGGAGGTTCATCAATGGGACAGTAGGCTGGCAATGAGTGGTGGGCTGAAAATGCTGAATGAATGTCCAACATGATTGTAAGGCTTATGTCACTAAAGATTATATCCTTTGGATTTTCATGATCAAATTTCATATACTATTGTATAGACTTCTGCTTTGTAGTGTACTATAGTAGCAATAATTTCTGTACATGATCAAGAGTTATGCAGTATTTCTTTTCAGTTCTCTCCTTTCTTAAGAGTTAACATTGGCAAATGGCAAGATACAGAGAAAATACACAATTTATAGTAGGATAAATGAAAGGCACAGATCTGCGATGCTTTAGGATGCAATACTTACTGGATATAACTACAAAAGCTTTTATTGAATATTTTAAAAATTTGTAAGAATCTTTGGGGGAAGGCTTCAGATTTATACCATTCTAAATGTGCATCAGTAGATGTAAAACTCTTGACTTCAGTATCGTCTTTGAAAAATGTTCAATTGAGGATTCTGGTAACTTACATTTTATGAACTGGCACATTATATAATGCAAGAGAGATATTGATTTCTGACACAGTGAGCAAGTTCTTTGAAATGGATTTAAGTCTCTTTTCTAATTTCATTTTGTTTTAAATGCATATTTTAAATGTAGGTTTTTTCATTTAGTAAAAGTTGTCTAATTCATTTGAATGAAGTCTGACTGGTTATTTTAACATACCTTACTGTTACTCAGTAAGCGTGGAGTTTGTTGTTTTTAAACAAACAAAAACAAAAGAAAGAAACCAACCTGACAGCTTATATATGTTACTGATTTATATTGGGTTGGTCTGTGGTTTTGAACAACGGCTTGATTTATCCCACCTTGAAGCAAGCACCAGAATTTCAGTACATACCATAAAATGTATAAGTAGATTTCTTCTGATATTTCTCAAAGACACTTGTTCTTAAAAGTCGGTGATGAGAGCTGTGTGATAGTAACTACAGTTTGTGACAAGGTAATTTAAGATATCTATTCTGTAAGCCTTGACAAGGTAACTTCCTGCTCCAATTCATTGCTTACTTGAAGCTTAGTTTTACAAGTTTTGAAAATGTGGGGCTTTACCAAGTGCCAGCCTCTATTATAGGAAGCATCATGTTACCATAGATTAACACTTTTCCATTTTTTTTCTTAGTTTCTGGAACAATGTCTTCTGTATCATGAAATGTCCAGGTGTAAAGCTGTATGTTATGTGAGTATCTAACATGCTCGCTTGTATTACAGATGCAATGTCAAAAGGAAAATAAAGTCTTCAGGCCTTCTTATACATCCTAAAGAAATAGGAAATTTGTAGTTTATTTTATGGCACATGGTGGTGGTGTTCTGAAGAACTGCTATTTTTGTACAGCAGCAATCACTTGCAAAGGATTTGAGTGCTGTTTTGACTTCTGGGGAGTTGGGATGTCTGCTAATGTTCTTTCATCATCCTATGATGGGGGAAAAAAAAATACATTAATTACCTTACCCCTACAGATACAGCTGTTCCATAGAAGAAGAAAGTCAGAAGCATCAGAAACATAACATAACTGGCCATACCACTTCAGCTTATGTTTACAATGTTAATATGGATCTTTAGTATTTTTACTACTGTCCATTCTGGAAGAGGTAGAAAAGAGAACCTGAATCTGATTATACTCAGATAAAATTAACTCTTTCTTCTATGGAAATTGCTAGTAGTCTAATTGCTAATGAGCTTTTTCTACATAAACATCTTGTCCATATATAAGCCTAAAATGTTGCTAAATAGCACAGTGTTAATGTGCTGGAAAGTAACAGGAGGATTCTCAAATGAGCTGTTAAGAGGTGTATAAAACATTACACCATTTGAGGGATATTTTTGCATGTTCTTTTCCCCACACCCTTTTATCTGACAGTAATATCCATTCCTGATTTCACAGTGGAGTACAACATGGCACACAACCTCTTATCTTGTTCCTTTTTTTGATTGATGGGCATTGTGTGATTCCCAAGCACTAACGAAATACCTGCTTTAATCCAATTTAAAATATCGCTGCAAGGAGTGCTTCTTTGGTCTCTTTTGTGTTGATTGATATGAGATTCTTCTTTTAAATCACTTTTTTGTATGCTTCATAATGATCAGTGTCTCCTATGCATGGAATATACATAATCACTGCTTTAAAGGAGGAAAAAATGTTTCATATAGTTACAGTTTTTTTGTGTTGCTCTAATATCTTGAACATTATTTTTGTTTAGGTAGTGTTGTTTGTACTGATTTGATATGTTCCCAAAAAATGCTGTAGAAATAGATTCACTGAAAACAGTGTAATGACTCATATACTAGTGGATTTTATTCACTTGGCTATGTCTGGACATTTAGAAGTACTTGTGGCCATTAAAGTCTGAACGGCCTTTTTATCCTCTTCTTGCTTCTAATATGGTGTGATGTAGCAGCAGAGCACTTGCACTTAATGTCACTGAGCTTCACAATCCTGTCATGAAGATGGTTTGCATTTGTACTGTGTCTCTGAGGGAAGAGTTAATAGGTACATATGACATGGTCTGTAGTATCCCAGTGTGTTGCTGTGTATTTACTTGCCTGGCAAACTCTGATGGAAGTCCTTTAGATCCATGAAAGGAAGTTGTTTCTATTATTGACAGCCTACATCCCTGTTCTAAGGTTGTGCGAAGACAGAGATCCTTTCTGCTGTGTTTCTGCCAAAAGATGATAGGAGTTGACAAACTGCGAAGTATCTTTTATATGAAGAAGTGTTCTTATCTGTGGCTTATCTTTTGATAAGCCCAAGAGGATGTTACCATTGTACTGTGGAAGCTGTCAGATTAAATTACTGGAGCTGTATGTCATTAGTTTGGGGTCAGAAAACACATTTTTTTGCTCTGTAGTAATATAAAAGGAAATGTAAAAGACACTACTGCTATTGAATATGGTTGAACTGAAGGTGACGTGAAAGTAACTGTTTTGGATAGCTGGAATTTTCAGAGTATGTAGGTGACAAATGCAAATACCCTTTGTGTGGCCTTTGCAAAGCTCAAGAGTTAACAGAAAAGGGTACCTGCTTTGCAGAATCTCATGTAGATAATAGTTGTAAAAACATACCTTGCAATTGGGTGTTGAATTTCTTCCTGCAGACTGTCAATGTCAATGGCTGGTGTTTCTGGAACTTTGCTTGCTGTCAGGTCTGTTGGAGATGAAAACACTCTATACAAACCTGATAGGTAACATTACAGCTTAGTACAGAGCAGAGGCAAAGTGATACTGTCAATATTATATTGCTTTTGAACTTGTTTGAGTTGTAACTTGACCCATGATTGGCATCTATCTGCTTTGTAATGTTCATAGGTTAAATGTGGATATGTGGCTCCAGATGAACTGGTGAAAAAGCAAGGATGAGAGAATGTCTCCTTATGCTGGAGCAGGGATGACTCCAGCACAGTCAAATATTTGTGTCTCTGAGTTCACATGGGCTAATAATACACTTTAGAAAGCAGTGTATTTTTTAATACAAAACAGAGTTACGATGAAGTTCATGTTTTGGTGTGTATTTAAATTCCAATTTTCATGTGTCCATGAAGAGCCCTGGACTATCATAAGAATTGTACCCCAAGCACATTGTCATTCTTGTCAATAAAAAGGAACTCAACGGATGTGTTCCCCAGGGCTC